ACTTTCAGCAGCAGCCTGATGCATGTAACAGCTTTGGAATGTAAGTTTCAAGCACTGGTAGTGTGTTAAAGTGGCAATATATGATAAACAATAACTGTCTTTTACAGACCAGAGACACTCAAGTCTGGAGGAGTGGGGTGGAATCCTCCAAATGCAAGTAAATATAAGAAAGAATGGGATTTTATCATTCCTTTTTTTTTCCTTTTCCAAGTCTCCCTTTCCCTGGGGCGTCAAATCAAATGGGTTTGAATTCTATGCTGAGACAATTAAACCAACTTAAAGCCTCCTACAATTAAACCAGTCTAGCAATCTTTCCCATGTCTGCTCATTGATGTCATCCCACACTGCTTTATGCATATTCAAATGTTTAAATAATTATGTTCCACATTCAGGGGACTGCTGTGGAGAAGGCCTGTTCCCTTGTTTCCACCCAGCATGCCTTAGTCAACGCAGGCAGGAGGGCCTCTTCTCCAGCTGAGCGCATGGGGTGAGCGGGAAAGCCAAACAGGAGATGCCTTGCCCCTGATCTTCCACTGTCCAGCAATAGTAAATTCTCCAAAAAAAGACACACACCAACAGCCTATAGAGCATGGATCGCCAAAGTGGCTCCCCCAGGTGTTGCTAGGACACCCATCATCCCTGACGGCTGTTTATGTTGGTCAGGGCTAATGGCAGATGGAGCCAAACAACATCTGCAGGGCACCATGTTGCTACCCTTGCTATACCTCACTTCTCCCAAGATATCTCTGCACAAACCTCCCTGCATACAATCATGGCTCACAGCACAGATACAAAGCTGCCCTGCCCTGAGGCCAGCTGACCCCTTACTAAGAAGGCGCCCGGCGAGAGCTGAGAGGTTAATTGCCATGGAGAAACAACTGCCAAGCTCCTCTTACAACAGCAGCTCAGCCAGTAAGTATTGTGAGAATGTTCTTATGAACCTTCCTTTAGCCCAACAAAAGCAGGTTCTGCAGTATTACAAATAAATGAGGATCTTGTTTGTATTGTAAAGGCAGGACAGCACTCTGCAGCTGCATTTCAAAGGATCCTTTTTTTACAGATGTGGCGGCTTTTGATACGGGGATCCTACTGCCTGCCTGCAGATATGCAGAAGGGAATGTCCATGTGTGATAACTATCAGTGCTACTATACTAGGGAACAAACAAGGTTAGAATAGCCTGAGCCATATTGCCAAGAACGTATCACAATATTGACTCCTCCTTGTATGTATACTTCTCATTTGTTTGTACCTAAATATTTGCATGTGTTGCTGGGTACACTCAATTAGGACTTGGCTGCCTAAAACTAATTGCTAGAATCTTCCTGCCAAGAATAATTGCTTTTTTTCCAAGAAATGACTTCTGCATATTGGCACCACAGCTATCCCTAGATGCTACACCACCCTGGGTAGGCAACCGTTGACTTCAGGCATTGGCTAGATGGGATTCTGCTCCACAGCTTTATTTACCTGGTGATTTATGAGCTTTGGACCCAAGCAGCAGCTCCATAATGCCTGACCTCAGGCAGTCCTTGCATTGGCCCGCTGTAGCGTCTCAGTCTTGTTAGTGCACTGGATTAAGCTGAGGAAAGTCGCTTATTACAGAGAGGGGACTAAATGCAATTTGGTACATCCTGCAAGTTCTAAGCAAGCACCCATGGAGCTGACTGAGGGCAGGGTGGTTTTACTGTGGCAATACCTTATTCACCCGATTGGACCAGCCTCCACTGCAATACGCCCAGCATGCCCCTTAAATTTTTAGTTTTTCCTTCCCTTATCCTCTTATTTTTTTTCTCCTCCCAGTAGAGAAGCCTCTCTGAGGATTTTCCAGCTCAGCTGTACCTTTTGCTACATTTCTTTGAGCTCTGTCCTTTCCCGCTGCTAGAGATATGCATTGCGGTTTGCTGGTATAATTTTAATTTCTAGTTTTGGTTTCTCAAGACTGGACTGTCTTGTATAACTTCCTAAAAGCACACGCACACACAGAGTAAATGACAAACCAAAACCACATTTGTTCATTCAACAGTCAACAATTAAAGTGCATATTAATGTAAAATGTACCTTCTTATTTTATAAGCATAAATATATCTCTGAATCATCCGCCTTAATCAAAATCTGAAAATGAAATTAAGCTTAACCATGTGCAATTTATTGCAATCTTCTCTAATGAAAGTTGTGATTATAAAAGATAACTGAGGGGGATATGAATGCTTTAAATTAGGATTAATTAGGTTTTTGTCAGCATTGTACAAAATTAGGACATGATTGCACATTCAACCTTCCGCAGGCAGAGCTACACATGAGGGGTGGGGTGGAGGGGGGGACTAGTATAAAGGTCAATGGATCTCTCCTTCTTCTCCCCCCCCCATCACTGGCCAGTCCTTGGCTGGACTCTCACACACAATGAGGCTCTCATTTTGATATAGATATATAGATATAATGTGTATGTATAAAGACACACATGAATGTGGATGTGTGTTTATTTGTGTATGTATATATGGGGGTGGGGTGGAGGTGGAGAGAGTGAGAGTGAGAGAGATGCATTTTATATAAATATATCAAAATAATCTCCTTATATGCACCCAAGATCTCAAGGTGATGCATATTGGGAATAAATAAGAAAATAATACACAACTACATGAAATCAGAGACTAAAAGTGATTATATAAAAATAAAAGCAATTTAAAACCTCCAACAACAACAACAACAACAATAATGATAATAATTTATTATTTATACCCCACCCATCTGGCTGAGTTTCCCCAGCCACTCTGGGCGGCTCCCAATCAAGTGTTAAAAACAATACAGCATTAAATATTAAAAACTTCCCTAACCAGGGCTGCCTTCAGATGTCTTTTAAAGGTAGGACAGCAGCTTATTTCCTTCACATCTGAAGGGTGTTCCACAGGGTGGGCGCAACTACCGAGAAGGCCCTCTGTCTGGTTCCCTGTAACCTCACTTCTCGCAATGAGGGAACCACCAGAAGGCCCTCGGCGCTGGATCTCAGTGTCCGGGCTGAACGATGGGGGTGGAGACGCTCCTTCAGGTATACTGGACCAAGGCCATTTAGGGCTTTAAAGTTCAGCACCAACACTTTGAATTGTGCTCGGAAACGTACTGGGAGCCAATGCAGATCTCTCAGAACCGGTGTTATGTGGTCCCGGCGGCCACTCCCAGTCACCAGTCTAGCTGCCGCATTCTGGATTAATTGCAAACATTAATATAATCAATCACCATTAAAACAATCATCAGCAAAAGCCAGCGAAGAGGATACAAATTAGCAACCAAATGCTTGACAGTCAAAGTAAGCCTTGAGCTGGTGTCAACGAGATACCACTGATGCCAGGTGGGCCTTCCTGGAAACAGCATCCCTTCAGTCTGGGGCTACTGCTGAAAAGGCCCCATCTCTTGTAATAGCCCCCCATACTTCTATAAGACGAGACCATCCAAGGAGGGCCTCAGATGCTGACTTATGGGTCTGGTTAGGTTCATGCTGGAAGAGTTGTTTGTAAAGTACTGGGATCCTCAACCATATATGGCTTTATATGTCGAAAGCAGCACTTCATAGTGGACCTGAAAACATACTAGAAGCCAGCACAGCCAGAGTAGAATTGTTGTTATATGGCTGAACCCTCAGTCTGGCCACAAAACAACTGTTGCAGCTGCAGTTTCCAAGCCATCTTCAAAGGCACTCCCAAAAATAAAAGTAATCTAACCATGAGGATACCAGGGCATATACAGGTTACCAGCATCCAGATAAGGGCGCCTCCACTCCAAAGACCATAATGGATCCAGAAGTGTCCCCAAGCTATGAACCTCCTCCATCAATGGGAGTGAGACCCCACCCAGAGCTGGGAGAATGCCACTTACCCAGACAGCAGAACCACCCACTAGCAGTATCTCTGCCTTATTTGGATTGAGCTTCAGTTTACTGGCTCTCATCCAGTCCATTATCTCAGGCAGGCACCAGTTCAGTGCATCCACCAAAACAGCCTCTGGCAACGAAAAGGAGAAGCAGAGCTGCGTGCCACCAGTATATTGATGACAATGCACTCCAAAACTCTGGGTGACCCCACTCCGTGGTTTCATGCAGATGTTCCATAGCAAGGGGCTGAATAATATTCCTCCAGCACTACTTTACGGAGTCACCCATCTAAGTGGCGCCAGAACCACCACAAAGCAGTACCACCCACCTCCGATATAGCCGCTTCAGAAGGATACTATTAAGGATACTCTGGCCCTCCAGATGTTTGGGACTACAATTCCCATCATCCATAACTAACAGGACCAGTGGTCAGGGATGATGGGAATTGTAGTCCCAAACATCTGGAGGGCTGGAGTTTGCCAATGCCTGGTTAATAGCATAGAAAGTCACCAAGAAATAAAGGAGGCTCTCCTGGAGGCTAGCTGGAATGAGAAGAAGAGAATAGTTCATTGAGCATCTTTAGGGGCTGGAAACTTGCTCAGTTACACTGTTTGGCTAATGCTGGCAGAATGGAGTTGCTATCTCATGCACTCACAGCAGCTAAGTCAACAGCCCAATACCTATAGCAGGATGTGCTTGTAAGGGTATTCAGGAAGCAAGTCGTATTCATTTGCCTTTTATTTCTGTCTCTCTCTGGCTTTTGGCTGCTTGTTGTTTGCACCCATCAAAGGCTCCGCTTATATGCTCATAGCATCCTGGACAGCACAGCATCCTGGAAAGCTCAGTTGGTTAGAGTTGGAATGTCACCTGCACCACACCTACTAATAATATACGGTATCCATGTTGCTTTGCTGGGCCCTATAGAGACCCCTAGTGGTCTTCCATGTAATAGAGGGGAAAGCTGTGCAGGTAGTAATGTGGGCCGGCCCCACCAAGCCTGCATTTCAGGAGATGAACCATAAAGGTGAGAAAATTGAGGTACAAAGCAGGGAAATCATTTGCAAATACTGCCCAAGGCATCGGAGGCAGAAAAGTGGAATTAAATGCAGGTTTTGATCACCCAGCATCTTTCTAAGACCAGACCTGTTCCAGTCAAAAATGAAAATAAATGCAGATACATACCTCTCTCCACTGCTTGGTCTCTATGCCCTGAGTATACAGCACACACACTGCAAAGGGAAAACAGCTCAGCTCAGTCACTGGCAGAGTGAAGGCAGTGGTATCATACAGCATAGTCTGTGTTACCCAAATCCATCACAAGCTTCTGCAAAAACAGGAACCCAGCAAGCTTAACTACAGCCTAATTCCCCATTGGTGATTGGAAGGGGGGATCTCAAAAGTTGGACAGTTGGGATCTGTTACCTCTCTCTTTTCCCTTTCCACCACATTGACAGCTGTGTAGAAAAACAGCACCAATGCATTTTTCTGCACAACGGATGGCATTGTGCACAAAAAACCTATCAGAGTCAAAAAGACAAAAGCAGGGTCACTCGGTTCTAGACATGGGGACATGTATCCAATGATGCCCTTTGCAGTGATGGAAGATCCAGTGTAGGGTTTGGTCCATGGAACAGGGAGGGAGGCACTTTTTGGTGGTTTCCCTTTCCCCCTGTGATATTCCCGCATGCCCCAAAAATCTGCTCTGGGGGGTTGGGGGAATTGTTTGAAGAAGTGTGGGTGGTGGGGTGCTGGATGGGAGAGGGTGGGGGTGGAGATCAGTGAAAACTGCTTCACTCCCCCATTCTGCTGATGAAAGATACTTTCATTAGCCTGAAGCACTGATTAGATATGACCCATGGTATGTGGACAGGTGGAAGTTGATTTCTGTAGAACCAGCCCAAAGTTCTACCCATCTGAAAGGGTGGACCATCTCTCCCCTCAACCATTTTTCACCCTCTGGCTCATGGATTTGCTTGTTTTCTTACAGGCCCATCAGAAAGCAGCCTGGACATTCTATTATGGCAAATGCAAACACAAAGGCCAGTCTCTCATGGTTTAGGAACTATAGAAATCAAAACGAGATCTTAAGGGTGTCTGTTTAAATTAGCCAATAATGATACCTTCATTAATGTATTTGGCTCCCTTTCAAATACTCCCCATTAGCAAAAGCACAGTGGAGATGTAGAGAAGATTAATGAGGTTTTAATGAAGAGCCGCTGCCAAGGCACCAGCAAACTGGCTGGCAACAAAGGCTGCTGCCCCACCAAGATTTGATCAGGATCTGTTGCTTGTCCTCCTTCATCTGTGTGAGCTGCTAAGGATGCTGTCTATGTTCCCAAAGGGACATTTCAAAGAAAATGGCATTTTGCAAGTGGAGCCACCAACCAAAGTGGAGGGCTCCTCTTTAAGGTTCTAGCCAGCCAGCCATGTTGCCAACCAGGAGTCAATGAATCCAGAACACTACCTGGCAACTTCAACTTCAACTGATGTCAATGGAAGAACTAAATTTATGTTTCAGAGGTTAAAATGAATGGGATTTAAACTGCTTAATCTTGTTCAGCATGCTCAAAGAGTGTGGTCTTTTATTCATTCATTTAAAGCATTTATAAACTTTTTTTTTTAAAAAAGAAATCTGTAAGCACAGGGAGGGGGGAATCTAAGCAGTGTTAAACTCCAAGAATCCATGCATTTGAAATGTAATGCATGGATTCTACAAGAACCTCTGTGAGCTAATCACAGAAGCCCTGTAGCTAAACTGTATTTTACAAGGCAGTGAACCTATATAGAAAATGTACATACATGGGTCAGATTTGGAGAAAGTATCCTTATCCAGAAGATTTCTGAAATGAAAGAGAGAGAGGAAGAATTACACAATTTCCAGTACAGAGCAAAACTAATAATAATAATAATAATAACCAATTCAATTTAGCCCAAACAACAGAAGCCGTTCTACCTAGAATAGCCTAGTGGCCAGCCTGGGTGGGAGACACCAATCTGACAATACTGTCAAGGAAGATGCTCTGTTACACAGTGGTGTAACTTAGCTCAGCACACATTGCTAAAGGTGCCTGGCTGTAGTTCCTAGCAGAAGGCAACTATATTCTATATCTATCTATCATCTATCTATCATCTATCTATCATCTATCTATCATCTATCTATCATCTATCTATCATCTATCTATCTATCTATCTATCATCTATCATCTATCTATCATCTATCTATCTATCTATCTATCTATCTATCTATCTATCTATCTATCTATATTATTTATTAATTTTCTTTTTCTCATAACAAATATCCAATATCAATAACATTCATTTTCCAGTTTCCCCCCTCCTTGTTGACTTCCCTCAGCTTCCATTTCTGGTTTGTTACATAAAATGTTACGTTCCGCTGTGTATATATAATAATGTTTTGTCAACTTGTATAATCTTCTTGTTCTTTGTAATTAAAGTTGTGAATATTTATTTAAATCCTGCCAATGAGTCCATGTTCCCCCCCCCGTAAATATGTTGTAAAAGGTTCCTATTCTTTTCCAAAGTCACTGTTGTCCTTTTCACGCAATTTGTCCGTAACTCTGCATAATTCATCAGTTTTTCTTGCCATTTTTCTTTAAAAGTAATTTGTCCGGTCTTCCAATTTTGCACTATTAGAATTCTTGCTGCTGTTGTAGCATACATGAACAATGTCTGTTTTTCTTTCGGAATATCTTGTCCTAGAATACCTAACAAAAAAGCTTCTGTTTTTTTAACAGACGTTACTTTAAACATTTTTTTCAATTCATTATAAATCATTTCCCAAAATTTCTTAATAATCTTACAATCCCACCACATATGATAAAATGTACCTTCCCCTTCTTTGCATCTCCAACAATTCTTTTGTTCTGTTTTATACATTTTTGCCAATTTATTTGGTGTGACATACCACCTATACAGGGACGCGGGTGGCGCTGTGGGTTAAACCACAGAGCCTAGGACTTGCCGATCAGAAGATCGGCGGTTCGAATCCCCGCAGCGGGGTGAGCTCCCGTTGCTCAGTCCCTGCTCCTGCCAACCTAGCAGTTTGAAAGCACATCAAAGTGCGAGTAAATAAATAGGTACTACTCCGGCAGGAAGGTAATCGGCGTTTCTGTGCACTGCTCTGGTTCGCCAGAAGCGGCTTAGTCATGCTGGCCACATGACCCGGAAGCTGTACGCCGGCTCCCTCGGCCAATAAAGCGAGATGAGTGCCACAACCCCAGAGTCGGTCACGACTGGATCTAATTGTCAGGGGTCCCTTTACCTTTACCTTTACCACCTATACATCATCTTCATATAATTCTCTTTCAGCAATATACAGTCTGTAAATTTCAAAATCACTTTCCAAAGCCTTATCCAATCTTCAAATTGCATATTATGACCTATGTCCTCTGCCCACTTAATCATTACCGATTTAACTTCTTTGTCTTTAGTTTCCCATTCCAAAAGTATATTATAGGCCTTCTTCAATAGTTTGGAATTATCGTCTATAATATCCCTTTGGAATTTGGAAGCTGTGTAAGTAAATCCTCTCTTATTGTCCTCTTTAAAGATTTCGTTTAGTTGCCTTTGATGCAACCAACTCTGAAGATATTCCTTTATCTCATCATAGTCTTTAAGTTTTAGTTTTCCTTCTTGCTCAGTTAATAGATCTCTGTATGTTGGCCATATTCCTTTCTTTGTTGACGCTTTGGATGATAATGCTTCAACTATATTCTAAATCAACAGCACCCAAGTGTGTGTTTCCTTTCCACAGAACTCAACCTTTCCAATGCAGGCAGTGGCCCATATTATCTCTTGGTATAAAGATGATGATCTACATCAGGGTAGTCAATGTAGCACCTTCTAGATATGGTAGACCCCAACTCCCATCATCTTTGACTATTGGTAGAGCTGGTTGAGACTGATGAGAGAGATCGTCCACAATAGTTGGAGGGCTCCACATTGGTTATCCCTGAGCTATGTACATGGCAAGTTATGTCCGTGCAAATATGAAAGAATGGAACTGGAGGGGCTTCAGCAAACCTCAAAATATACATAACTAGTCATTCAAGACATCTAACAAACAAACAAACAAACAAACAAACCCAATGGTTAAAATTAGAGTATAGTTTGCTATCATTATTCAAAATGGTGTCGAATGGTATCCGCACACAGACAAAAATCTGCTCCTTGATCACAGAAAACTGAGTTACAATATCTTAATAAGTGTCCAAATGCACAGTAAACAACAACGTTCCAATATACAATAGTAGAACAGAAGTCTTCTACTTGGCATTGCTCAGGAATTCTAATAAACTCAAAAACCAGCAGTTTTGAAAGGTTCTAATAAACTCAAAAACCAGCAGTTTTGAAACTCAAAAAGCAGTTTTGAAAGGTTCAGTCCACCATCATGATTCAAGATGGTATCCAACTACATCCAAGCTTAGATGAAAACCATCTCCTTGATCTCATTGTGAAAAATGGCATGTCAAACTGACAAACAGCTTCAAAACGACTCTCTTGTAGTAGCAACCAAGTCCGTAGGCACATTCAATGAAGAGTTTCTTGCTCGGCTAAGTTGTTCCCAACTTTATGGAGATCTAAGCCCCATTTGTGAAGAATGCATCTGGTCTTGACGCGGGGAGGGACACACACACAAGCCCGTCTCGACATTCCTGCACATTCCAGATCCACTTCCCACATCCAGCACAAATATATGATAGGGACATGCTAAGCACATTCAGGTAAATGTGCTTAGAATCCTCCCAGCGGTTGGGAATCTTGTGTTATCAGGGTTCCTGATCAAAGGGCAAATTCTAAGCACGTTTACTCAAATGCACTTTAGAATCCCCCTTCATGCCATCATATTGCATGTAGAAATGTCTGGAGCCAGCACACACAGGAGAATTGGAGTGAGGCTCCATGTATGCCCCCTCTCCCTCCCCACTTTAAGCCTACACGTATTCACCTTGAATCCAAAAAAAGGTTTCACAAAACCACTTATTCTGAATGTAGACAGAATGTTGATTTATTCTTAATGTAGACCAGAATGTTGGCATGAAAACACCTTGTCCTCCAAGGTATTGATTTATTTATATCAATTATCTTCCCCATTGAAGAGCAGCCACCTCCTGCATCCTGAAAGATTATAGAGATTTTAGGACTTTTTCTAAAGATATTAGGGGAAATGAATGGTTGATAGCACAAAGGAACTAAATAAGGGCTCATATATTGGAATCACCTGCGAAAGTGTTTGTTCTGCATTATTGAGTCCATTCTTAAATTGCCTCCATCTGGGAATGTTATGGAATGAAGACAATGCAAACAACAATTTTATGTTCTGCTGACTTCATTTTGCAAATAAAGTAGTGAGAGCTGGACCATAAAGAAGGCTGATCGCCGAAGAATTGATGCTTTTGAATTATGGGGCTGGAGGAGACTCTTGAGAGTACCATGGACTGCAAGAAGATCAAATGTATCCATTCTTAAGGAAATCAGCCCTGAGTGATCACTGGAGCACTTGTGAAGCTGAGGCTCCAATACTTTGGCCACCTCATGAGAAGAGAAGACTCCCTGGAAAAGACCCTGATGTTGGGAAAGATTGAGGACACAAGGAGAAGGGGACGACAGAGGATGAGATGGTTGGACAATGTTCTCGAAGCTACCAACATGAGTTTGACCAAACTGCGGGAGGCAGTGGAAGACAGGAGTGCCTGGCGTGCTCTGGTCCATGGGGTCATGAAGAGTCGGACACGACTAAACAACAAAACAACAACATAGTGTTTTCTCTTTAGGAGCAATAATGATGTATCAGAATAATTCCGTACTGAAACTGTTACTGCCCTACACAGACTGCACTTGCCATGCTGACTTATGTGCAACTGAGGTTGGTGCTGGCTGAGTGGTCTTCTGTGTAGATGATGTGTGCAATTTGGACCATACTGAATGCATCATTGCTACATGTAAATATCTACAAATGGACTCTTGTAATATGAACAGAGGGGAGGAAAAAAGGCTGCAAAAATAATTTAAGAAATTTAAATTAAATTTAGATGAAACATTTGTTCCATGCCAGGTGGTGGGTTACACTTAGACATCTTTGTGTGTTCTATGAATAGGAAAGTTTGTCATACATTTTACTATAACAGGAATTTGTCTCAGGGTTTCTAATACCAGCACCCAATGTGTAGCTTCAGTTCCTTCAAGATCCCTTCCCTCCCTTTGCCCATTTGATTAATCGACAGTCCTCAAGATGACAAGATTCTGGGAGCTGTCCAGCACTTGTGGTGCTGAATGCAGTCAGAAAATTCTGCACTTAAGATCACAGAACTGTAGGGTTGGAAGAGACTACAAGGACCATCTAGCCCAATGCCCTGCGATGTGGGACTTGAACTCACAACTCTGATACTAAGCATCTCCTGCTCTACCAGCTAAGCTATCTCAGATGAGCTGCTACCGTAAAAGTTAGTGGGATCTTTACTGACTCGGATGAACTTTGGATTGGGCCCTAATGGCAGAGAGTGTCAGCAATGAATAGCAGAGATAATGAAGGATTAGAAAGGGCTTAATAGCATTCCAGTTTCAGAGCCAGAACTTCTCTGAATGTTTCTTTCAATAGCTTATCTTCAAAGCACGCAAGAGCACCAATTAAATGTAAGGAGATATGCAGACTGAGTGCAGAGGGAGCTTGCTTTAACTCACTGGCATACTCATTCCAGGAAACGATATTTCATTGCTTTAGAGACAGGCTCAACTTCAGGGATTGCAGCAGGTCAGGCTGTTGCATCTGGGCAATGAAGAAAGTTGCTTTGAGTCAGCACAACCATGTGGTTCAGTAACA